CACTGAGAAATTAATTACTGCATCTGTTTTTTATTTTTTTTTTTCCTGGGGGAAAAAAAAATAATCTGTAACTTCTATTTTATAGACAATGATTTGCATATACAGTGATCTATCTTCAAATAAGATAAATTCCTAGATACCATTTTCTCACATACATCTACATTTATGGAACCTCTTCTTCTACCTTTGCACCAAGCAGAGTTAAGTTTTAGTCTAAAGGTATTATACTTATTAGTCCACAGTTTTATTTGTAAAGATGAATAATTATGGCACTTGTCTACTAGGATGTATGTAATAACTGAATTCAGGGTTGTTTTTTCTCTTTTTCATGAGATGAGCATGGTTGGTTCTTTCTGCTATAAAATGCATGCATATGGTACTTCATGCCTGTGTATTTTTTCTGGTCTATTAAACATTGCCTACGTAGAAATGTCGCTGTTAAATGTCTATACTGCTGATCTGCATCAAGACATCCATGTGATACCTGTCAGCAGAGATATGTTGATGTCAACTGAATTCCCAATGCATTTCCGCTGCCGGACTCTTTCTGTTGTACCATCAACTTGAGGCACTGGGGGTAGCAGAGGCAGTGATAAGTGGCGGGCTGGAGTCCAAATTTAGTCTCCTAATGATTTTCTCCTGCAAAAAAAGCTGTGGAAAAAACAATGGATAATTTAAGATATTCTTTCATGTTCCTTTCTTAACACTTTCTTCAGCCACTCCCAAGCGGAGTTGATGCGTTTTCTTTCACAGGGTTCAATTTCAGACAGAAAGCATCTCAGACTGTATCTTTGGTATCCTCATTTCCCTTGGTGAACAACAATGTTTCTTCTCACTTTATTTTGCTGTCTTTGCAGTAGCTGGAAGACAAGGCTTGCTGGGCGAACAGCCTATTTCCAGGTCTGGTCTTTGATCAGACCCTCTGCAACAACCTCACTACTGCAATTTAAGGTAACTACTGTGGCATGAAAGATGATCAATGGAGCAACAAAAACTTACTTGTACATAACCACTTGTGATACGTTTCCCTTTCTCATTTTACTTTCCTGTGTCTTGGAAGGAATTCTTGAAGATATCTTATTGTTTCCCTAACTGGTGTATCAGTTTAATAGATTTTAAGGTGCCAGGATGATCAATCAGCTTGTCTGATCCTCCTGCCCCAGACCACGGAATTTTTCATAAGTTTTTAGCCATTGGATCTTGCATGCATTTTTCTCTCAGATATAGACCCATAAAGAACGAGAATTCATCTCTGTGTTGGAATGCTCTCACTGCAATATTTTAATGTCTTTTTATTCTTCCAACACCTTATGAGATAGAGAAGTTGGTACTCTGAACCTGGATTTAATATTCCAGTGATGATCCCCATGAATTGGCACACCAATGCAATTATGTCCCTATTTCCAAGGAGTAAAGGATCAACTCTAGACTTTTATAGACAATTAGCTTTTAGAATTACTCTTTCATTACTTGGATTGTATAACGCATGTTTTCTTGGGACAGCTGTAATAAGATTTCAGAAGAAAATGGAATGAGACGATGCAATTATCACCCATGATTACTCCTTTTGTTCTTGTCTTAGTCAATTCTTGGGGGGAGGGAGGGCTTCTTGTTTAGTGTTTCATAAATTATCTCCTGTTGTAACGGTTTTAAGGCTAAATTTCATTATATGACTCAAAGTGGTGGAGACACCAACAGAAAATAATTGTATTCCTAAAATTATGTATCAAACACAGAGGACAACTAATATGAAATGTAATGTGTGAGCGAAAAGCTGGTACACAATGATAGCTAAACAAATGTACACATTAAAAATAATAATTGTGTATTGAATGGTGCAGATGAACACCAACTTTACAGCAGAAGAAAAACAAGATGAAGTACACATGTTGGGTTTATAGATATGTACACATAATGCCTTTGCATATTATACATGATTCTCTCATGAGACTCTTCAGTGACTGCAGCACTTGACTCAAGGTATCAGCAACTGTACTCTCAGACATTAACAGTTTTACCAGTGCTGCCAAAAAATCGCAAAATGGAAACTGCCTGTGGTCACAGCTGGCCAGTGAAAAAAGGTTCCAGATCACGCCATGGCTTTTCAAGCCAGCAAGCTAATGCCAAAATCAGCAACATAAGAATAGGATTTTCTAAGCCTTTTCAACGTCTCTGAGCCAGCTGGTCACCTCCCCTTCTTTGCTTTCAGCAAAATGGGTCCCCAGAGTCAACACACAGCTCTTTTGGTGCCGCTGATGTTTTCTCCAGGAAAAACATTCTCATTCTTAAAAAATCCCAATGGACTTTATTTATAATTTACAGAAACATTTTAGCGCAAAATTTGTATAATTGCTGGTCTCAAAATACTGAACTCTCAATGATATCACTTGTGTGGCTTGTACCTACTAATAAGTACTGTTTACTAGAGTCTTATGTGCCTCAGTCATTTTTCTCCAGATGACTGAAGCTAGCAAGAGCTCATAAACCATAGGAAAGTGGGCTTGGAGAACATTTAATAATCCAAACTACCTTCTTCAAGAATTATTAGTGGAGAAAACACATTTTCTCTTGTTAGAAGCTTGCAAAGATACTGAAGGGCTTTGAATGAATCAACAGCCAACTATGAGTTGGCTGTGCAATAGAAGAAAATAAACCCAAGACAAAAAAACTATAACCAGTTAAAATTACTTGGATCTATTAATTGCTGAGAGGGCAAAAGCACTGTAAGAAAATTTCATATTTTTTTAACAAATGCATTAAGCCAGCTTTTCCAAATTATGTTAGTTCTTCCAAACCAAACACTGGAAAAGTGAGGTGGTTGTTTTATTTGTTTTGTTTTTTAATTTAAAGGAAAGAATTGATCCCCAGTGTCTGTGCCTAGGAGATGTGAAACATGAAGAAATTTCAAGAAGGTCATGACTATCTTGCCTTTTACTCACTTTTTTTGTTTAACAGCCATGACAGTTCACAGAACTATCACTCTGATCGTTTCTGGGACACAGACTGAAAAAGATGCAAGATTATGTTAGGATGGGAAAAATGGACTGATGTTAACTATCACTCTGCTGTTAATTGCCAGATAATCTGTTTGCATTCTCATCTGCAGTACGCATTAATTGGAGGAGACAACACTTCTCAATTTCCCCTACAAAGCACTCACTGTGCAGTTCTGTTGCTGCACAGTCTTAGGAGGATGGGACATCCATATGGGGGAGAGGTTGGCATACATCTGAACTACACTTCCAGGTTGTCTGCAGGCTTCAGGTAGCCATGCTCAGGGGCTGGGATTTTCGGGTGGCAAACCCAGCCCTAAATCTGTGTCTCTTTCAGCATCCAAATGGGTAAGGAAGCAAATGAAGCCAGCAGCACTGGTACTGCTGAGCAGCCTCAGCTTCGGCACCTAATCTTCCCCCTGTGAGAACGGTGATTACTCAGTAAAATGTTAGCAACTTTCAAACCCAATTCTGTTTTAACTCACATCAACAAAATTGCACCGCACATTTGATTTATAACTTTGCACCAACCGTTAAGAGTGTTTTGGCTGTTGCGGTGATAGTAGGTCTTTTGTTTGTAGGCAAGTGGATACTCCGGGATAAGGCATTTTCATGTTGGCATTTGTTGACTGTGGAGTATTTTTGTAGAAGAAATTATTCATGTTGTGATGGCTTAGCTCTGCGGTGCAGTATGGACAGAAGAACCCTCATTACATGTGATTGGATGAAAACTGGACAATTTTGTAGGGGACTGCTGGGTGCAGCACACAGGGCAGTGTTGAGGTTGTCAGTAAAATGCAACGTGAGGGCTGCTGGAAGAGAATGTGTGGTGGGTTTTTCAAAGCAACCCAGAGGCTCCAAACCTACCCAGCTACTTCAGCCCCTTCTTTCCTGCCTAGTGGGGCCGTACGTTACCAAGCAGACCCTGGCATTGTATGGACTGCGGCAATCTTGAGCCTCAATAAATTCTAGAGAAAGATCCAGCCTTAAGCTATAACATGTGTCAAGCAGATAGCAAATTCTGTGTAATACTGAGCTTTTAAGACAGTGAAACTGAAAATATTCTGTCCAGATTAAATTTGGGTAAAAGTAACACTTTGTGATTAACTTGGGAATAAACTAGGTTTACTTCATTGTATTTGATGTGATTCAATATAAGGTACTTCAGTACTTAATGTAATCAAGTATTGTTGAGAAAGAATATGGAGCTTGTCTTAGTTAAACAAGAATTGCAAAACAATTGTCAACTTTAGTGCCAATGGAATAAAACGGTCTTTCTGTGACCTTATTTTAATATAACATCTTACCTACTGATGCACTTTATATAATACAGCCTTCAAGTTCAGAAATCTTTCCTGTCTTTGCCTAAACAAGGAGAAATCAAGTAAGTTTTGGAGGGTTTTTTGGGGGTTAAATCTGTATCACTTTCACCTGGGAGAAAGATGGGGCTTGAAAGTGGGAGCTGGGAAAGAGGCACACAGGGTTGTGTCCTGTTTAGGAGAAGTGGTGAGTAAAGAAAGTCTGGACAAGGGGAAAAGGAGCGCACGAGGGTTGTGCTTCTGTGAGAGGGAAGCTGTGTGGTTAAGAATAAGGCAGAAGGAATGCAAATGTATTTTTAGTCGAAATTAGAGCCACCTTTCTAAGTCTATGGCCAAATTATCTAGGCTCCTCTTACACAAGGCAACAACTATCCTGGGGACGTAGCCTCACAGTGACACATGTGCCCGTGAACCATTTAAAAAGCACAGTCATGTATTGTTGGATTCGAGCATTGTATATGCAGGGGTTTTCTCCTGTTTTTACTATCTCCAAAAGATCCACAAGTCAAAACTTGCAGAGAAATAAATAGTAAAAGAGCATGTTATTTCTAGATTTCCCGAACTGAAGAGCTGTGCAGGAACATTCAGATTTCTGTGGGCTGGGAATGTCAGCTGGGAGCAGAGGAGCTGCTCAAATATGACGCACGGGAGCTATTTAGGGCACTAAGAAGCTGATAGCTGCACAGCTAGTGGCAAGGAATTTGCGGTGTGGCTGTGGATGAAAATTACCATGGGTGTGGAACAGGCAGAGTATTGCTAAGCTGATTACAAACAGAAATTTTGAGCCAGTTGCAATCTGTTCAGAAGAAAGGACACGCTGGTGACTGAGGCAAGAGGTACTGAACCAGGCTAGGGCGTCAGCACGGACCTGCTAACGGTTGCCTCTCCACTCGGCGAGGGTGTCTCTGGTTTCCTTCAGTTAGCCTGTCTGCACAGGTATTTTTCCTCTTATTCAACAGGTGCTTCTCAGTGTTATCAAAAGATGTTTAGAACAGAAATATGCTCTCCAGAAGTTGAGAATAAATGAGATTACAGCTCGCTCTCTCTGGAAAGGGGATTGACAGCTGTATGCAGCTGTCGTGAACCACAGAGTTCCCCAAGCAAAAATAAAAGCCCAGCCTGCTGCCTACAAAAATCACTAATAAAGTGTGTATGTATGGTTGTTGGTGTGTTTTGGGTTTTGATTGATTTTTTTTTTTTTTTTACTTCTGTGGGATTAGAGGATGTATTGCTCCATAGGGGGTGGGGAGACAGAGCGTTGCTGGCCATGTCTCCTTTTCTAACTAAATCAAAAGACATTTTCAACCTTAATTTGCAGGAATTGAGCCTACTTCCTCTGGGCTGAGAAAATCTGATCGATCTCTGGTCTACGTTTGGACAGTGCAGACTTTGTTCTTCTTGTGCTCCACCCAAGTGTCCTTCATTTTAGTCCGAGCTACTGACTTGACATTAGTATTGGATTCCTGCCGTCTGCAGAAATGCAGCTACAGAGCACCTCTTTCTGAAAGGACAAACATATCCCTATGGTTCAAAAAGTGCTCCCCTAGGACAAGGCAGTTAATGAAACAGTTAATGGTGTTTTACAGGCCTCCCAAGCCAAATGATTTCAGACTATATTCCACTCATAGGTTGATACTGGAGGAAGCTAAGGCTAATTAGCAGCTATTTTGGTAGGGCTCCAGTGAGAAAATGTAACAAGTAAAAGATAGGGGAAACACTGATGCTGGCTGAAAAACAAACAGAAAGTTGCAAAACTTGAGATCCGTCAAGTCAGAGCAGTCTGTGAAGCAGACAGGATAAAAAGAGCAATCACTGACAGCCAGGGAAGGAAATGTTCATGGAAGTGGCAGAACAATCAGGTAAAACAGCACCAGAAATGTCTCCTTTAACTTAGCGGTCGCTGTTGAAGTGTACTGGAGGAAAACCAGGAAGCGAGCTGTCAGAGAAGACAAGGTCCCATGAGCAGACAGCTTGCTGAGACCTATGGAGACAGCTTGAGGAGATATGATCAATTTTGTTGTCATGGAGGCACCAGCTAATTTACTGAAAGTCAGAAAGGTAGAGTGGGAGGAAGGGCAATTTTTCCAAGATTAGAGAAGTACAGCACTTGTAAGCAAAGAAGATAAAGCAGTTGAAAATAATGGCGAGAACACTAGGACGTGAAAAGCAAAGGAAATGAAGGGACAGTTTAAGAAGAGTGCAAAATGGATTACCTTCCCTGAGGTGTCGCAAAGACCAAGCTCTTTGCACAACTGACATCTTTGTAGAAAATTGAATCTCCTGAAAGCCGGGAGTAACATCTAGCAAATCACAATTGGCTAGAAAATAATTGCTTTACTGGCTTTCAAGAATAACTAGCAATACTCTGACATATGGACGCCGGGATGGCCAGACTGTGAGAAGGACCTATTCCACTTCCCACCACCCCCCAACTCCCTTAAGATACTGGAGCCTCCATCTGCTCTTCACAATAAAGTAAAGCAAGAACCTGTGGTTTTCCTTATGAGGAGTAGAAATTCTGCACTGAAAAGCAAATTTTCTCTGCCTCCTTTTTGCGGTGATGCTGGTGGGTAGGACCAGTCTCTGATTAATTAAGAGCTACCAAGATTAGTCTCAGGAGTTAAGCACGCCTTAAAAAAGAACCACTATCACCATCAAAGCTTGTACCAAGGATACACCCCAAAGTGAACATTTCACTCTGTGATAGCCTCCAAATCTTTATGTTACAGCTGTCCCTTTTATCAGCTTCTCTGATGAGTGCTTCTTTTCCTCTTCTGCTTGTGGCACGGAATTTCTGTTTTAAGGTCTTGTGGGCATCCAAACTTGCCAGTAAGTAACATGGATGTTAAAAGTACATTTATATAGGGCCTTTACTATTTAAAAAATAGAAAGACACAGAGAAAACTGAAGCTTCATTTGCCTCACTGTGGCTAAGGATAATGGTACTGAAAGGATACAAGGTCTTAATTGCAGAGGTTTAAAAATCCTTTGATAGTCCAACACAGAGGGGCAGTAGCAGAGATGCCAGACTTTCAGCTTCACTGTTCTCCTTTTCCTCACTAGCTTTTCCTTCTCAGAAAGGAACATCTTCCTCTCTAGAGTGACTGGTGCTTCTGTAACTACTGAGGGCTCACTTTACCTCCAGAGCATTTCCCTTCGCAGTTTAAGGGTGCTGCCTCACAGCCCACATCTGCCTGGCCTGTGGGTCTTGCCTCTTCTCCCTGCCTGCCTGGGAGCTGCCTGCTCCTTGACTGCAGCACAGGCTGTGACTGCAGAAATGAGGTAGGAGTGGAGAACGGCAATGCCTCCCATAGCTTTTCAAAAGCTCAGAACGATTTGTCACTCATGCAAATAAACATCTGACAGAAACATATGGCTAGGAATGAGCAATAGCCCCGTATGCTCGCTCACACGGGAGCTGGCAGGGCTGCTTGATGTAATGTACAGAAGAAAGAAGGAAGGGGAAATACGTATCTTTAAAACTAGGGAATTAAAATGTTCTCAAAAGTGATCTGTGCAAAACAGCTTCCAATTCCAACTGTTTGCATACGGTGTTTCTCTCTCTCTCAAATTCTGTCTCTTCTGGCCCCCCACAGTCTAACTATTGCAGGAACCAAGCAGTCATGTACTCAATTTCTCCATCATGTTGTACCTTGCATCTGAGCTGGTGATCCTTGCCCCACCATTCTGTTGTGGTGGCTCGTCACTTCTGACTGCCTGCTGTCCAGATGCAGAGTATGCCTGTCATCCTCCTCCTGTGAGTTTTGCCCAAACATGCAAAATTTTCTGAGCCTTGCTGGGACAATTATGGTCTTTTTTGTATAAATAGCAATGGTCTTCAGTGGGACTAGGAGAGAGAACTGCTGAGATTCAAGCAAGAGGTGAATGGCAGCTTTATCTCGGCAAGTCTTATCACAGGATTGTCCCAGACACTCTTCCAAGGTTCTGAGGAGGAGAAGATGCTGCTGGAGCAAATGGCCTTGCGCAGCCCACAGGGAAAGGCACAAGGATCCAGGCAATATCCAGCACCAAAATTCCACTCCACATGGCTCCTCTCCTTCCCCCCATTTTATCTCAGGTGCTAACACGCTAGTTTATTTTTAGGCTAGTTTTCCTAAAAATGCAGAAAATGTTCAGGGCCATCTAAACTGAGATCTACAGGACAAGGAGAAAATGTCAGCTGGGAGTCATGGCAAAAGTCCTGGAGCTGGAGACTAGAGGGAACATTTGTGGCAGTGACTCTAAGCAGTCCTTCGGAGCAGTGGAGGGAATGCCTCTTTACACCATTGCCTTTTTAAATCTCTATTTATAAACTGGTGGAGGGAGGGAGGCTCTGAAACTAGGTCCTTCAATCTGTTCTCCAGAGTAGTACCTCTCTGCCAATGCCCTGCCTGTACAGTGTTGATGGTAAATTAAGATCTGATGCTACAGGCATGTGCAACGTGAGGGTATTGGGGGAGAATCATATAACCCCTTTACACCTGGTTATTCAGGATGTATCATCTTCTCCCTCCTGCTTGAGTGATGTTGATCAGTTACTCAGAGTTGGGTTTTTTTTAAATAATCTGGTATTTCAGGGGTTTTGCACAATCTCAACTCCCGAGTCAACCATGCCTGAAGTGATTGCCTTCAGAAGACTCTCTTTGCCTGCCCAGTTGAGTCTGCCGATTCTCCAGCAGTGTGCATACCTGGTATCAACTTGAGGTCTGAGCAACCACCATGTCAACACAGAGAAAGAAAACAATAAATAAACAATAATGCAGTCAAAAATAAGGCAAGAGCACAGTATAGCTTTTTAGGCTGTTTTATTTAATTTTCCTGATTCAGACCTTGAATTCCTGGGTGCACTTATTTAAGATTTCAAACTCCAGGTCAATGTTCTGTATCTGTTTTCTATAGCCTGTTCTTGGTGTATGGTCTGTATTGACTCTTCATAAGGAAGATATCTGCCTGCCTTATTGTATCTCATGCTTTCAACCTTGGGATGACAAATTTATTTCTGGTTCCTCAGTAGAAGCCAAGACCACACTCTCTGTACCTTTAATCTGCTGAGATAGCAACAATTCTTCCTCCCAAACACAGGTTTTTGATGCCTTTCTCATTTCACAACAGTTGCATAATGCAACTGCTTCATTTTAATTTCTGCAACGTGAGCACAGAAGGGTTGAGCTCCTGCACTATGCAGTGGTCCTCCCTGGAAATGCAGAAAAACTGTACTTTCTCAGTTCCAAATAGCATGCAAAGTAATGAGTTTCAACATTGGCAAAAGAAGAGGAACTCATACCTGCAAGATCAGGTAAGATGGGCTAGGCTTACAAAGAAATGTAACATGCATCTGTATGACTAATTAAAAGCTACAATAACACAAAGTTTCCACTTAACCAAACATAAATAATGATGGCATCAAATTAAAAAATAGAATGGGTCTTTTAACTAATTTGTAATTAGTGTGATTCCCACAGAGAAGGTAGAAACAACCCTAAGTTTTCACTCACACTTCCACCTGCTTAAAATCCACCGGACCCGAGGACTTGCAGTGGAAGTTTGAGGGCTGTTTTGGGGTGTTTGCATGACCCTGGGGTCTGAAGGATTTCAGGGAACTGTGTCCCAGACTTCTCAATGCTCATTAGGTATGCTGTGCTATTAACTGGCAGGAAATTTCACAAAGTCGGTGGAGAAATTGTGTCTTGGTTTCAGGCCCGACTAAATTTAGGAAAAATTCTGAATGACATGGACTCCTCCATTTTTCAGGATAACCATCAGGAGAGGTTTAGCTTTTGGAAGACATTGTTCCTGATCATCCTTCACAGCTGAACAGATATCCCTGGTGGAACACCATTGCTTTATCTTCTTTTTTTTTTCTTTTTAAAAACCCTAGAGCTAAGTAACTTAAGAAAAATTGTTGTTACTTTGATGGGTATTTAACAACTCATTCTATGGTGGAAACCCCTTCATATCAGATACTTCTGAGAATAGTCTCTTCCATCAGCCCAGTTCAGTCTCCAGAAAAGGCTTCTCCTTTTTGATGAAAATTGTATTTTCTAATTTTTCATAAATGTAGAAGTGCCTTTCTGTAACTCTTTTTAATCTTGCTGGAGGTATAAAATGAGATACAAGCAGAAATTTACTTAATTTTACTCTAGATGCTAGATTTAGGCAGTCACGTTGTGAGTATGTTGACTTCAGCTACGAGCTAAGTTTAACACATGAAGCGTGCCTATTTGATGATGGCCTCCTCTTTCCCCCTCCTCTCACTGCTGTTGGGTTCACCACTGTCCTCTACGCTGGGGAGATGCATGTAAGCCCTGCCCAGCAGTGACAGCAGCGTGGCTTACCTCCACACTGGGTGTTAAGGCAAGATAGCTGCTATCCCCTCCCTGCCCATCCCTTGCAGCCAGGCTGCTCTTGGATGTGGATTAGGAAGCAACTGCATGAGTCCGGCTCCAGCAAAGTATTTTCTTCAACAATGACAGAGAGGGGATGTTGCAGGAAGAGGGAAATCAGTTTCCCCTTTTCAGATTATTCTAATGAATGGCCAACAATTTCTGCACGTGAGACGTTAAAGCTGGCCCAGAAGCCACAGCAGCGAGGACCAGTAGCAGCTCAGCCGCAGCGGCAAGGAGCTCGATGGCAGCTAATTTCCACTGCTCCGCCTGTGCTGAGCTCTGCCTGAGCTTCCAGGCTGCTCCTGGTAACCAGCCTCGCTGACAGTCTGCTTGCGAATCTCTGCGTTTTGGGGTCTGCAGCATCAAAGTAGCTTTAGGTTGTCAGTCTGTAAGCCAGCAACAGATCTATAGATGAATGGACCGCAGGCTTCATGGGTCCGTAGGCAATGACACTGAGGAAATAACGTGCTGCAGGCAGCACTACGCTTAGCTCTGCCTGTCAGCTTCAATTTTAGCTCTTTAATTTCCTGTGGCTGCAAATGATGGTGAAGGGCTATGCTATCACTTAAAGACTCTGCCTTATACTACGTGTTTTTTTGGAACGGAGATTGTAATTTTTTTAATCCATCCTTAGGATCTTGATCTGCTGCTGCTCCTTGACTAAAGTCTTTAGAAACTTTCCTTGATTAAAAATACTAATTTTTATTAAGGGTTTTTTTTTTATATTCAAGGGGCTTTGAGGACCTGAAGAAAATCACTTGCCTTCTTCTAAACCAATAAATCTTGAGAGCCATTGTGTCTTATCTCTAAAATTCACTACTAAAGAAAAGGAATAGGAATTGGGTTGGGCCTGTCATATTTGATTGTACTGGGCATATGCATGTAGCTATTTAGATGAGGAGTGTTTGCATTTGTTCTCTTTCTCCTTACTGTCTGCTAGTCAATCCACTGGGTTATGTAAAATGGAGAAAGTGGAATCTTACATCTGTTGTGAAATGAAAGCCAGTGGCCAAAACACTGGATGGCCTTTTTAGAGAGTTTTAAAGTCTCCCCCACCATCAGAAAGGGTAAAATGGATTTTTGATGATCCCTTGTTTTTCTCT